TGTTGTGGTTACGTGCATACAAGCCAAAACCCTGCCGACCGGCCTAGCCGGCGGCCCCTCAGGCGAAAATGGGGAAAGTAAGTGTGCGTTTGGAAGGACGCAGCAAAGAGGAAAGAGCGAAGCAAAGGCAAACCTTAGGAACGTTGAAGCAGTTAGCCGTACAACCCAAGACGCGCAAGCGGTACCAAGCCGCACGTGAGAAATTCTATGCCTACCTCCAGACCAACCACCTTGAGCTCCCACGTAGTCTTCCCGCCTTTGATGACCTTCTGTCTGACTATGTTGAGCACTTGTGGGCATCAGGCGAGGGACGAGCCCTTGCTAGTGATAGTGTGGCGGCTATGCAAGACGTTGAACCTCGACTGAAAGGCAAACTTGAGGGGACTTGGCGCCTGTTGAAGACATGGCGCACAAATGAGGTGCCCAACCGAGCGCCGCCACTGCCTGAGGCAGTCCTTGAGGCCATGTTAGGATGGTGGGGTTCTACGGCCTCCTCCGAACAGGGGAGCTCCTCTCCGTGTGCAACTACCACATTTTCATGACAGCTCCGAACAAGCCCGCTGTGATATCTTTAGGATTGACAAAAGGCGGCAAGCGAGCTGGTGCCGCTGAGAGCATCACGGTGACCGTGACACCTGTCCTTGCCTGGCTTTGGGCTTGGAAGAAGACTTCAAGCTCGCACAGCCCGCTAACCCCTCCTCGACATCAGTGGCGATCCAGGTTCAGTGAGTGCCTCTCCGCACTGTCATTGAATGACATGGGATTTCGCCCTTACTCGTTACGGTGAGGGGGCGCCACATTTTGGTTTGGTAAACACGGATCGTTGGATAAAATCCTGATCCAGGGCGTTGGGCAGCCGCCCGCGCAGCAAGAATCTATCTGAACGAAGGACTTTCTGTCCTGTTTTAGCCCAGCTTACTCTGCCAAAGAAGGCCTTGTTACCGTTTACGCGCCTGTTTCACTCCCTGAAACTTCACGACCTACCTCGAATGCTTGAGCGTACTAAAGCAGGTAAGGGAGACGTCGAAGGGGGACCAGGGATTGAATTTTTCGAAGCGGAGACTGTGTTTTTTCGGTGTCATGAGAAAGACGTATTGGTACCTGTGCCCACGCTTTCCGGTGTTTGCGGCAAGTTTGGGGGGTACGAGGGGTGCTACCTCCTTCGTGGCAGACCACGAAGGGGGTGGTGCTGTGCCTCTGAGGTGTGAACCAAGGTGATGAAGAACGTCTTTCTCCTCGTCCTAATTTTCTTTCAATTTTGACACAATCCTGCATGCGCGGAAAAACTTGCGAGTTGAGTCTTTATATATATATATATATGATATACTGTATGTATTTGTTTTGTTTGTAGAGAGATGGGTTCTGAGTTTGGTTGAAGCAGTCTGCACCTCAAGCCCGCAAAGATTGAGAGAGAGAGAGAGACGGAGAGAGAGAGAGAGAGAGAGAGAGAGAAAGAGGGAGAGACACGGAGAGAGGGAGAGGAGAGCAGCAAGGATTCGAGAACCTGCCAATGCTGGACTTACCTGCAAGGTATCTAGATGTGAATTCCATGCAACAAACTGCCGCTAGCGGGCTCAGACAAACACGAGATGCACACATTCCATTTCCCTGATTCTGTGCAGTTGCCCAGAAAAGTTCATATTCAATTGACGGTCAAGACTCAAGCAGAAGGCCAGCCACCATCATGTTCACAAGGGTTTTGCCGCAGAAATCATGCGCTGGTGGACAGTTTGGAAGCGTTCCTGGAGATGCAATGGGACATACTCAGGCATGGCTTTGCTGTGCTGGATGCATCCAATGCATGTATGATCTGGTAGACAGGTCTGGGACATCGATGAGGAACCTTTGTTGAGACACTTTTGCCTGAAGGAGGAGTGTGCTGAGGTCGAAGTACTCACCTTTGTTTATGCTTGCCCTCAATGTAGTTCTTGGATGTTTTGGGAGGTGATCAAATGGTTTAAAGATGCAAGCTACGAAAGACCTGAGGACTGAGGGGTGCCACTTCTTGAACTGTCCAACCCTTTCACCACGGGAACAGTCGACTTCAGACTTCAGCATTCTCTTCTGGAGCCACATTTCAGTCACTGTGATCCAGGATTTTCGTGAGCGCTTGAATCTGGCAAAGAGTTAGCCTCCAAGCAGTTTATTGGCCCGTGGCCTTCCTCGTGCTTTTCTTCTCATGCGTGACTGCTGCAAGGCTTGCGTGAGCTGAGCAACAATCGCATCAAGGAATCAGCTGTTCAAGAGGGTATGCCTCACTCCTCAGATTCCATTTTGTTGATTTGCTTGGGTGCATGAGACATTGAGTGACATTCAAAGAATAGTGTGGAGCCTAAGGATGCTTGCCCTTGGGAGCCTACACTGTCTCGATTTCAACAAGGACAACAGATCTTGCAAGTTAAGTGCATGCTGGGGATGGAGGCAGCCGGCAGATGTGTATGGCAGGGCCAATCAACTTTGCAAACTGAAGAGCAGAAGAATGAGGCGCAAGAAACTGCGACAACCGCAATTCGTTTGACAACTTCCTAAACATCAAAGTTCCTTGCAGGTTGTTGAAGCAACAGTTCCCTTGCTGAGCAACCTGAGGCTTGGAACTCACGAGAAATAGACTCATGAAAGACGCATTAACCTTCTTCACCCTGCGACCTTTGAATGAATTTGCTTTGCTGCTGTGCCGCGTGAGTTTAGTCTTCCTGAAGCGCAACGATGCACACAACTGTGTGCGGGCTGCAAATCTGGGTTTGACTCTTGCAGACAGGCGGGGTTTAAAGCATTTTGTTTAGGCAAGGTTTCTAATCGCCTATTTTTCCACCCGACGCTTGTGTCCCCAAGCCTTCAGAATATGTGGGAGATGCTTCTTGATGCAGTTTGCTAGGCTCAAAGAAAAGCCTGCCTCGCTACAAGCAAAGCTGCTTTATCGCCGAGGTTGCTGTGCACAACAACGCTCCTTCCTTGCATGCTTCAACTGCCAAGTCAGTAGAGTCAAATGGGTGGTTGTTGGAACTTGCTTTAGAACTATAGTTTCTATTGTTTCAACAATAAAATTGCAAGCCTGTCAAGAAGTCTTTGATGCAAGTCTTTCAGTGCTCCACCAAGTAATGCTTTGAAGGCCTAGGAAGAAGCCAGCGGCCCAGATGTTGTTTCACTGCATGCAAAAGTACCGTCCACTGCGATTTATAGTCCCTGGTTTCTGTGAAGGCCAGGCCAAAGATTTCTCGGACGCACTGAAAGATTTTGTGGAATCCGCCAGGCGAGTGAGGACGAGTTTTCGACAGATATCAAATTCAGAACTGCAAGCTCAAAAGTGTTTCATGGGAGCAGGGTAGACAGCTTGCAGAGCCTTTGTAAGAGCTGTGTTATTTTGTTTGCGACCTTTACCAGGTTGCTGCCTGAAGACCGTGAGATTCGACGAACCTTAGATGAATGCAAGGCCACTGTTGTTGGTGCTGAATGTTCGTACCGTGGTGTTGGTATGGGTCAAAACCAAAGGCTGGTTGTCAGTGCCCTTCAAGGCAAGAGCGAAAGAGCAAAATGATCGATCTGATGACACGCAGCAGACCTAGCTTTGGCAACCTTTTTGTCAAGTTATCAACTTGCGTCTCTGGAGTCTTAGGTGGCGCGGAGCAATGAGTGACAGCCCCAAAGTCAAGGTGCAATGGCAACGATTTCTCGTAGTGTGACCTCAGAATTCATGTGCAATGTTTCCTCGTCGGTCGGGCTGCTGGCTGCTTCCGGTCAGGTGCCACTGACTGATCGGTTCCTGATTACCCTGCGGCGGTGGCTTCGGGCAACGAAGCGGCGAGCACGGCAGGTCACGTCTCTAACAGCTGTGAGATGTTGCTCTTCTCATTTACAAGTGGCAGGCGGTTGCCAAGAATGCCGAGACTTTCTTAGTGCGGGTCTTGGTGTGCAATCTACAGATCTTTCAGAATTCCCTGTTGGTGAAGTCCACGTGGGTGTTGGTCATCCTGACTTTCACACATCATATTTGATAATATTTGTACTTTTCTCTCTATTGAGCACAGCAATAGGTTTCCGACCTCTAGTCAGACTTCTTACGTGAAGGGTCACTGATGGGATTTCCTTTTCCTGGCCGAGACCATCGGCATCATCTCGCTCGCACCATTGCCAGGAGCATAAATGGTTTTTGTGAAGTGCTTGCTGCGCTTTGGACGATCAATGTCTTTTCGCCGAGGTGTGCTTGTGTCTTTGGATTATTACTGAAGCTTTTGCAGCGCCCGTAAGTTTGGGTGCTGAAATGGTGCCTGAACTCTGGCCAAGATGCTTGAGCGATGTTTCAGCTGTCGATGGAAAGACATTAGAACTGCCCAAGACACATGCAGAACCCTCAAGAACCCCAGAATTGCATTGCCCATCTAATTCCAATAAAATGTTCAACCGACCGAGACACAGCCAGGCTTTTGTAAGCCTTATCATTTGCCCATTGCAGTTGTGTACTGCCAGAGGCTGACAATAGCAACTCGGAGAAAGGTTTCATATATATATATATAGATAGGCGTTATCCTTGCAGAGAAACTGGTCCAGACTGGTACCAACCTTAATAAAGGATATTGTAATCATCATCCAAACTGCTTCCGACAGTTTGCATGTTACGTACAGTTCTGTACACATGCAATCACACACATCATATATTTGGGCTCTAACATATAAACCATTTGTAGGAACAGTTTCCTTTCATGTTTGCTGCCTATCTATTTTGCAGATACTTCAATTTATCTGATCCTTTTCTCCTCATCTATTTGCATTCAGTTTGATTTCTCTTGTTTGGAAACTCTTTAGCTGTTGAGCTTCAAGAGGCATTGTTCTCAGCAGTTTCGATAGGCTAGCTCCACATTCAGCAGAACGCAACCAAGGGCAGCACAGAACGCATTTGCAACCATTGGAATTTTGGAGCCCCATCGAAACCGCCTGTCAGACCCCTGTCACCTTTTTGCACACCAAATGCTGCTCATACTCCTCAATCATCATGCATACACACACAGACAATCACGTATGAGTTATACCTTCTGCAGCAGCTGATTGACTTGGCAGAGGTGGGCTGCTTCGTCGTTTCAAGCGACTCAAGTGCTGCCTGCACTGTGGATGGATAGACGTGCACAGGCGCCCACAGTGCCATCTTGGACATGGGGCGGGGGAAGCATAAGGAGCCGAAGGACCGCTTCAAAATGCCTTTGTCTTTGCGAAAGGTCTTTGTGATCCGCCCGAGTGCAGGAGAAGAAGGAGGATTTAGTTGGAGGACCAGAGAGCTGGCCTCAGCCATTTTGGCGCTTGATTGCGACTTAACTTCGTGTTTTGGAACAATCGAGGTTGGCCGATTCGGACATCGAAGAAGCGGATATTGAAGCTTTAGCGAGGTGAGTGTTGAGTGTTGACTCATTGACAGTGCCTGCAGACGAGCGATTGGTGGGTCGTCGGAGAACAGGCATCACTGATAGGAACCACATCAATAATCCATAATTGTTCAGTGTCCCAAGCCAGTAGCTACTAAAAACAAGCTACAGTACTAGCTTCTTACCTCTTCTTAGCCGACCTCTCATGACCTGCCCAGCGCGAAAGGTGTGGCCCTCTTGCTTCAGGTCAAAGCTCAATTCTGGAGAATATATCCTGGGCGAAGAGCCGAAGCTAGATCAGGCTCTTTCTGAAAAAGATTTCGCAAGCACGTATGCCTTGTCAGGTTTCAGGACATGTCCTGTGTTGGAAACACAGAGCACTATGAGCATTCTTCATGCTCAGGATAAGGACTACGAAGTTCAGGACCGTCTCAGTGGAGTGTGAAAGCTATGATGTTAAGCCGAGCATCATGCCAGGCGACCTCAACGAGAGGAATTTGCATTGCACCTTTGCTGTTACAAAGACAGAGCGAGCTCGAATACAAGGTGCGAGATGCTGCGAGATGCTGTGTTTCTTACTGCTCCCTGCACCGAAGCAAGCGAAGCCTGAAGGTCCCTGAAGGGGCGAAGCGCGTGCCGTGGGTTGTCCGAGGCTCAGAAGTGGTTGGACCATTCATGACATCGTCGGGCCCCATGTTTTGGAACGAACAAGGACACCATGGCGATAGATGGACAGACTGAACTGCCAAAGGGTGTCCAAACCTCAAGTGGCAGTCGGCACAGAAGTTGTACACGTGGGCAGGATTGAGGCTGGCGTGTGCCCCTTTTCGGTTGCCAGGTCACTGCCAAAGATGGAGTGAAGCTCGAGAGCATCTTTCTAGGCTGCCCTGAACCCACACAGCTTGCTGTGAAATTTCTCGCTGATTGCAGGCATGGCTTCAGACGCCGCAGCGGAAGCTTACAGAAGGCCGACACAGCGACACAGCTTCAGTGATTCAGCCACACAGTCGTTGATTTCCAGGAACGTTTCGGCTGAGCTTCGTTTTGGCTCAGGCTACGGGTGATGCGCATCCCCTGCACAAGGCCAAATGACTTCTATGCAGAAATGATGAGGCTCTAGCCTTACCCGGCGGGTCCGACATGGCCAGTGTTCTTGGACAAGTCGGTGAACAAAATATTCCCAAAGTGCAAAAAGCCTTGGAATCCAACCATGAAAGCCAGGGAACACAACTCTCAGAGAAGGCATCTCCCCGAAAAGACGCCAGAAGCTTCATAAGCTGAGCGACAACATTTTCAAACTCCCAGGACTGACAAGCAGATGTATAGAGTCCGCCAGCAAGCAGCGGAGGAGGAGCGTCGAATCAAGGCACACAGCTCAGGTGGTTGTTTTTCAGTCGTAAGGGAGGTCAACAGTTGCTGCAAGACTGAGCCATAGATATGTTGTTGTGACGCCTCTGTGCAGATCGTTGAAGATAGAAAGAAAGCTCAAGCAGGCAAGAAGTTCGCGAAGAAGGCCTGCTTACTCAAGATCTATTTTCTACCGGGTTAGTTCTTCTTATCCAAATGCCTGAAACGAGGCCAAAACAAAGAAGCTGGAAGAGCGAGCAAAGGCGCGAAATGCAGCTTGGTTTGCTCCCGGACTTTGCAAACGACACTTGGAATGTCAGGATAAGCGAAACTCGCTAGAGCAAATTGCCGAGTGGCGAAATCGGAAGAAGACTGAAGGTAAGAATACGGATGATCAGGACTGAAGCTGACCAGAAACACCAAACATCGCAGCACGAAACCTTCACCGTGTGCCAGGATCTTGAAGCAATTCTTTCGCGGCAACACAAAAAGAAAGATCAAGATGGGCTCCTTGGATGAAGTGCCGACTTCTCGGGGGATGAGAATGGCACAAAACTGGGTTGCTAAGGAAAGGAAAGGGGAAGGGCAAGGCCCTCAAGATTCATTCGTGAACGGATGGGGCCTGCCCGCTGATAGCGCGAACTCTCATGCCAGGCGATGAAGTCGGCAAAGCGGCGAAACCTTGATGAGAAATACGGTTTTGGTGGAAAAAAGCAAGCACCTCAGAAATTGTTTAGAACTTCACGACTTTGCCAACATCTCTAACGTTTCAAGGAAGCGGAGCAAGCAGAATGACAAGGCATCGGCAGACGATATGTCTGCATCGCCGTGGGCTTGAAGCTCAGTGCCATTAGGTGGTTGCTTGTCCGAGCTTGTCGAATCATGGAAGTCAATCCAAGGCCAAAAAGGGCAAAGGAAGAGGTAAAGGAAAAGGCAAAGGCAAAGGAAAAGGCAAAGGCCGCCTGTGGCTTGCATTCACATCTGAACACCTTCGTTCTCTTGAGCTCTGTTTGAATCTGTGACGCAGGCGGCAAGAGGACGGCCGTAGTTGATTCACCGTGACCTAAGAAGCAAACAGACTTTGCAAAGATGCAGGAAGAGATAAGCTCTAAGACTTGGCAGTGAGCCGACGACATGAGAAAGGGAGCTCACTGAGTCGTCACTTAAAGCGACGACTCTGAGCCGTCTGAGCTTTCAAGCTGCAACGGCTCCCTAGCTTTCAAGCCAAGCAATGCTTGGAAAATTGCTGCCCTCTGAAGTTTTTGTTCTTTTCTGGAAATGTGAGAGCATTTGTAAGACCTAAGCTCGAAGAAGACCAGCATGCGGGACATCTACTGCAATACCCTTTCCGCAGCATTGAGGATCGGCATTGCAATTGACGAACATATTGTGCCCACAAGGAATTTTCAACCAACAAGAGCTGTTACGACTAGCGTGCGTTGGTGTACATCACCCTGGCTCATGACTCCAGTACATCTCAGCACAAAACTCGGCAACTCAGTCAAGAGTGTTTCAAGGCATCGCGTCTTCGTCCCACAGCACGGCCCATCGCAGTCGGTGCGGTGGCAGTTCTGAAGCAGCGTTTTCAAGGCGGAGCCATTGGGACCTGCAAGGCAAAGGGGGATGGCCGTACTTGTACTTTGAGCGTGCTCTTTAGGGCTAGGCTGTCCATCAAAAGTGGAAGCAGTTCTTTTCTGCAGACGAAGGAGCCTTTAATTCTGTGAATGCGTGCGCGGGGCTCCTGGTTCTTTGTATTTTCGTCAATCTACTAATGCCCGTGGAGTTCTCATTCTTAGCCACCTAAGGTTTGAAGGTTCCGAGGAGTTCTTCCCATAGTAAAGGTGCTGTCAGCAGGTTCAAGCCGAGCTTATGGTCATGTTGGGTCCAGAATTCAACTGTCACATAAATACGCTTCTCGACCCATGCGCGTTCATATCAGCTTGTCTTATTTACTCATCCATGCTTTGCACAGCAAGCTTGATCCCCTTTCACTCTGGGCCCTCATGTCGCAGCATCTCACATTGCAGCTTGTTTATTGCATTCTCAGCATGCCCTCAAACACTTGAGTCTTCAATATACACATGGGAATGATGCATGTGTACACCCTCCATTTTTGTCTTGAGTGTCACATCGACAGCCAGATGGTCGTGGCGATGGGCGTGGGCCGACTGGGCGTGCCAAGGCGATCTCTACATCCCCGGATCCTCAATGCTGACGCTGACAATGGGTGACAAGAGTGATGCCTTCTTCAAACAAAATAGCAACGGAGAACGACCGCCCAGACTGGCCTCCAGCTGATGGACGGCAAGTGTCCCAATGCTTCCTTCATATTGCCTTGACAAGACCTGCTTGGTGGACGTTGGAGTGTTAGAAAGTACACAGTCGGGTGAGAATGGTACTGATATCATTGCGCTTGCTGAGCGGGACAAGGTCTTCAATTTCACAGTGTTGTGCAAAAGCGTGGACATTGGAAAGACAGCTGCCGCACTAAAGGCAGGCCAAAGAGGACCAGCTCAAATTCCTTTTGACATGGTGCTGAACCGGTGATAGGTGATGGCACAGTTGTTGCAGGTCCTGATGCGTCCAGCATTTCAAAGCCGTCCGCACGGAGAGTGTGCTTTTATTTGTCTCGGTCTGTCTGTCTCAGTCTTTCTGTCTCGGTCTGTCAGTCTGCTGTCTCGGTCGGGCAGGACACCCGGACGAACATACTCAGGATGTGAATAACGCAGTCCTTCTCCGGTTGCATAACCGGCATCGTGAACGTTTACCTGCGAAGCCATACGGACAATCATACACACGGAGTCAATTTTTATCAACGTGCAAAACATCAAAAACTCCAAAAGCACACCATTTCCCAAGCACAAATGCACCCACCCCAAGCTAAAGCTTAAGCTGTTTATCTAGCAGCTGATCTTCCAGTCTGCGCGCGCCAACACAACGCCTCGGCACCTTCGGTGCGGGCAGACTTTCAAGTCCAAGGACTGAGATCGAACATACTAGGGGGTACAGTAGTCGCAGCTGGATTCGTAGGTTCATGGCATGCAAGAACAATACTGTAAGTTGTGTGAGCTTCTCACGGCATCCGTTGCTGGGTCGTTGACATGGAAGCAATTTGTCACCCGCTTCGAAATTGTCCGTAGGCTACATTTGGAAAGGTCAATTGTGGGGTCACCTGAAGATTTTTGAAGTTGTTGTCAAGCAGCATGATGCTGACGTCATGGTATTCATAACTCTTCAGCCAAGCACTTGCTGGCACGCTCTCATGTTTGCATTACAGTCGAGACCAGCTTGAGTCGAGATGGCCTTCAGAATTGCTTTCCCATCTTCGTGCACATGTGCCAGAGGGTATTGAGAAGCTTTGTCACATTCATCGAATGGCTTCAACTTTTGATGTTGCACAATTCACTGGATGGGTGATGGGCAGTTGTTGCAGCGTTCTGCGTCAAGGGCTGTCTGAAAGTGCACAAGGAAGGTTTCCCTGCAACGAACAGGTAAAGTTGTCCGCATCAACCAGCACATGCATTCGCGAGGACGTGGCTTTGCCAGTACTTGCACTACTAGCTTAGATTCAGTTTGAAATCTACAGTGAAGCTCTTTGAAGGACCCTACTTTTTGATGAAGGGAGCGTGTTGGACCTGCAAACATATATGGAGTGTCTTGAAAGAGGCTGCTGATACGTTGGATTGAAACTTCTGGAGAAGTCATATCGTAAAACCGTGCGTGATGGATTCCTGGCCGAGGGCCAAAACGGAACTTCAAGATAGGATATGCGGCCTTAAACCGCGCAGAGGTCTTCCTTGTTGCTCTTGATTTGTGGCAAATTGCTATTTCCATGTGCTGGTGAGTGCAAAGACAACATTCATTTAGATCGCTCTTAGACTTTTAAGCAGTAAGATTAGTGGTTTTGATTCTATTGTCCGGTTTGAGCCTTGTTTGTCTAGTTGGCTGGTTTGTCTCATTTCCCAAAAATTCACAGCACCATGTCTCACTGCACCCTTTGCCTCTCGCAACCCATTCAACCTTGTCACTCTTCCGAACATCAATCACGTCTCAGCCTGTGTGGGTGAGGGCATTTTTCAGAACTGTAATTTTCGCAGCAATTCATCTCAGAGTCTCACCACTGTGAGGCTTGCATCACTTCCTGTTGGATTCGTTTTTGATGAACATTTTCATTTGCTGCGCCTTGCATGGGGTTTCTCGTCTTTGTGGTCATCTCTCGTTTTCGTGTCGCCCCTTACCTCACTTCACATCCGTCTACTGTATCTCTTCTCATCGCATCTCAACATACCCTTCTTGTCCTTGTAGTTTCAAATGCTACCATTTATTCAACCTCAGTGCGTTTGTGCTACTGCTACTTTATTCTATTCTGTGCAATATTCAGTAGAGGCACAAACTTGAACGGCCAGGCCAGGTGTTCACTGTTTTGGATGGCGGAGATTGATGATGCTCTTACCTTGGTGCGTTGTAAACCATTTAGACCCAAGCAAGTTCCAACTCGTGACAGAACATGTCCCCATAAGGCTGCAACGCTGATTCTGGGTGCCGAAATGGATGAGGAAGGCAGAGTTTGCATTGAAAGAACATTGGTTATTTTTTAGAGGTTTCAATGCCTTAACAGGCCATGATACCATGCTCTTTGCTTGCCCAAGGCTCAGGATCTGCAGCGCCTGCAGATACAGCAGCCGCAGAGGTGGGTAGTCGAGTGTAGATTGCTTTTCAACTACTTGCTGATTAACCTCAAGGCAGATGGCTTACTTGACCTGCTAGAGGAAGGAACGTGAGTTGCTGAGGAAACCACATAACAAGACATTTGCTGGAAGTGATCGCATTCAATTGCTGGCTCTCCATCCAAAGGTCTGCGGAGACAATCCCAGGTGCAATATCTGGTGATCCTGAGGCGCGGGTCACAGTTGCGGCTCTTTAGAGTACCAGACAAATGGTCCTACAATCCTACCTATATTTCATAGATCAGCTCCAGCGCATGTTGGCTTGAGGAGCTCAGAGATCCAGCTGTCGAAGCTCCAAGTGAAAAGGAAGCCGAGCCGGCAGAGCCAGCGCCGGCACCACTGGCGGCGCCACTGGCGGCGCCACTGGCGGCGCCACTGGCGGCAGTGGCGGCGCCAGTGGCGGCATCAGTTCCTGCGGACTTGGATGCAGGTGGACTGAAGATTGCGAAGACTCCAACGGACCCTCCTTCCCCAAAGTGGTCAGGTGCTTCAACTGGTGTCAAGCGAGCGGCCACGTTGACGCTTGACATGGGAGAAGATCTTTTCCCTGCAGCAGCAGGCAATGAACTTGTGGTTTGTCTTGAATAACGATTTTGTTTTGCCTTGTCTTTGCAGACGAAGAGCCTCTTGATGAACATGCGGCCGTCGTGTCCTGAGTAATAAAACATAATGCAGCATGCAGCATATAAATACTGATGTTTCATTGAGCTATTGTTTGCCCCAGGTGTTGTCATCCACCAATCCTGCCACTGCGAAGGACATCAGGCACTTACTGAGGCTTCATAAGCTTTGCAATCAGAACCTTTCTCAACCACATGCTGCAGGTTGACAGCTGAATCCACCAGTGTAGGCGATTGATTTCATGGATGATTTGAGTCAAAAGAGCCCAGTTTGGCAAACGCTATCGTGCTTGATTAAACCATACTCATGTGTGCAAAACGCCACTATGAGTGTGAGAAAACAGCAACCAGCAGGTAGGGAATCCTCGAACTCGATTGTGTTGGATGATCCGTTCTAGCCTCGGCTACAGTTGCGCGCGCCCATGGAACGTGGTCTTTGTGAATGGAAGATGTTCATGGTTCACTTGTAAAGAATCTTACCCCTACCATAGATGGACGCAAAATGAGTTCCTTGTGGCATACTTCTGCATTTTCAGATTGCAAACTTGGGCGCTGAGAGTGAGAAAAGCACAAGTCAGGGAAGGAAAATGAGAAGCACCTAAGATGGCATTGGTGGGGAACGGTGTGCAAGATCTTGCTGCAAGGTGAGAAGGTACGAGAGGTGTGATTCAAGAAACTTATGAACACCATGGAAAAGGTTATATACCTGATTCTCCTGTCTATCTACTATCAAACCTACACGAGCAGCGCCTGGGTGGGTGTGGGAAGTTGCCAATAGATTGGTCATCCCAAACTGTTATTCAGCTATTCATGTTGAATGCATGGCCAGATGGCCATGTACGTGTCTTCTCTTCAAATAGTGGGACTGTGGAGTTGCCTGACTTCACCCTTCAAATTACTTGACAGCGCAGGTGTCTACTCCTTTTGGTGTTTGAACAAGCTTGAGCATTGACTTTTTGTGACTTATCTATCTGAGGCAACTATTCATCTGCGCTTTGATTATGTTCTCATCAGCCATGTTTGTGGGTGAGTTGAACTCAGGAGCTAGTCCCAACATGCATTCAATTCCGCCACTAGGCACGTCTTTTAGCCATGTACGAGCTGCGCAGCTAATGCCTTAAACCTGAAGACCAAGACACATATTTAGACAGTCTATTCAGCTGTTGATATTGTTCGATACTGAAGTGTACCGGCTTCGTATTCTGTGTCAGACTTGTTTCTTTTTCTTTTGATTGGTCGATTGTTTTGTGGCTCCGTGTCTCAAGGTGGCGTGAAAGCGCCATTCAAGCGCTGTTTTTTTGGTTCGTCCTTCTGATTCTTACCCATGATAAATGATGCGTGTTCACAGCGCACAGCTCTGCAATGCTCGTCTCGCGCACACACTGCTCTGCCGCCCCATGTACATTCTGCACCAATCTGCGTTTTGAATTTTATGGCAGACACATCTATGCGCATCCATGCACATGTAATCACAAATACGAGCAGACTCCAATGATTTCTGAGGCGCATATCCGGAGAGCAATTCCGGATATATCGGAAAGTTTCCCCAGATTCCTCGTCTCCGACCTTCCAGCTGGAGGTGAAGCGTTGCCTTTTTCTTGGAGTTCACGGAGAGGAGAGCACAATTGCAAGACTGCTCAAGAAACGGTACCCTGGTCAACAAGAAGCTCCTGCACAAGGCTTTGATCTCAGAGTTTGCCAAGGACATATGATCCGTTTTGACTTTTTCCGCCTCAGTTTTTCAGGATGGCAATCAGAGTGTCTGCCTTCGTGATCAGGCCGCCAGCTAGCTGAAACATGCTGAAAACTGATGGACTCTATAAGATGGATGCCCAAATTCTCTGCATCTTTGCCATACTAATGCGCCCTGTGATGAGACACAAAAAAGTGTCGATAGACAGGACTTGGTGGAGGTGCTGCCAGCTTCGAAAGCACCTCGGAATATTTTGAGAGTTGTGCTGTTCGATACGTGCCGGTACGCGTATGGGGTCTTCGGGCTGATCTCATTGTTTTTGGCAGGTTGGGCAGGCAGCCGCCATTGCCTTTCTTTTTCATGCGCCACTGTCTGCAGCTGGCAACCTGGAGAGAGACGAGAACAGACACGCTCAAGAACTCATCGCAGGAACAAGCACCAGAATCCACGAACCCATTGTCTTTTCATGTCAAGAACCATCGCTGCCGAAGTAGTTCCCAGATTCGGAGCGTCCAGCGTTAAGGCACCTCCACCAACCAAGAAGCCTCGCTTGATGGAAGGCGGGAGCTTGGTGTAGGCCTTTAGTGCTACAATCCAGTCCAGAAACCGTTGTAAGAGAAGCACAGGTCCTACTGTGTCCGACTTTGATGTCTGTTCTCTCAGACTCCCAATTAGACATCGAAACAACACACTCCACAAAGGACCTCCCACAGTCTCTCCAAGGCCGATCAAATCCTCGGGGAGGCCACCTGTGCGATTTGCCAAGAGGCAGGGCCTATCACTAGGAGCAAGGACGCTAGTAGTGGCTCTGGCCATACTACTAGGAACAAGAAGCTACTAGGGGCTCCTGGCCTTACTACTAGGAGCATGGACGCTTCTAGGAGCAAAGGGCATCGCTACTAGGTGCAAGGACGCTGCTTGTCCTCCCGAGCCAACCTTGGGGTCGTTGTGGTCGGTTGGGTTGGGGGTGCCAGGTCATGCACCGGGCCACGAGTGTGAGACTCTTGGAGAAGCAAAGAATTAACCAAAGAAGACAAAGGCCATCAAAGGTCACCAAGTTGTACTGAATGCCCGATGCCCTGAGGTCCAACCGTGCATGCATAGCAAAGCTGGCATGCTTGGTGAACGGCTTGATGGGAGTTTCAACACACTATGACAATGACACGTGTATTGTAAGCTCAATTTCAAAGTGGAGATCCTGCAAAAGCTACACGGAATGTGTCCATTCCAAGTTCCACTTATGTTTACGATCAATTGACTGGGCTCTCCATCTAGCAACTGCTGCTCTCATCTCAAACTGCAGGATCTTTAAATACTTTGCATACTTACACAAGCGCATGACTTGTCCACGTATGAATTTTACTGGCCTCTTTCAAGAGAGTATAATTTGTCGGCATGAATCATGAATGTCGGGAATCAAGCTGCATAGCAACAAAAGCAGCAACTTGCTTTTTCTCAGTCTTACTTGCATGCTTTGTATGCTGGCAAAGACAGAACAAGGTTCAGTGTTTGAAGACTTTGAAGCTGGCACAAACTCGCACGAACCTTTTCAACGCGACAGGTTTTTGCAGCTCCTGTCTTGGTGGATGGCTGAAAAGGCCTGGAGACAAGCTGCCAAGGTGGGATGTCAGGGTGGAACAGCGTGCCCACTTGTTGTCCAGTGATATCTAAGCCATTTAATTAGTATGCTGTAGCAAGTATCAAGCTAAGCACAGAAGCACTAGCCTTCAAACCTCTCTACAGTCCAGAGTCTCCCTCAAGTCCCTCCAGGTGTCCCGTTTGCCGACAAGCTGTGGCAGCGGTTGGAAAGAACCATGTCCTCGATAGCTTGATCGAGAAAATCCTCAAGGCTCATATCGCTCTCGCGACCAATATAGGGTGCATGGATGCTTTATCATGTTTTGTAGCAGTTGGAAAAGGAATAGTCAGCTTTTTCTCCTTGCCTCAGCAGTGGCTGGGTAATAATTTCGTCACAAAAGAGAAGGTTGAATGGAGCATCTACTTGGGTCATATTTGCACCACACCATTTCTAATAGATATTTCTTTACAACGTGTTTTGACTAGTGTTCACTCCTGTCTTACCCCTGTGAGTTCCTCGGTTCCAAGTTTGGAGATCCAAGGGTTTCAGCAAAAGTTCGTCATTTGGCTCACGAGATGTAATTAATTATTGTTTTTTCTTTCAACATGCTCAGGCACATCCGGATAAGATGCGCTCTGTCGCTGCATTGGCGGATCTTGATAGCAGGGATCCTTTATATGTGTGACACCTAAAAGAGCTTTAAACATACTGTCTACTGTCCGTGGCATTTCATCGTTGCAGCCTTTGCTACGATCTAGGACAATGGCTACGATTTGGTCAAGCTCCGGGGGGGTGGGGGCGTAGCAGCAGGCAAACCTGGCAGAAACATGGACACTGTATGCATGAAGACTTACAAGGGAATAATGTGAAATTCTCTGGCAGGCTTTGCCCGATTGACAGTGGCAGCAGCTGCAGCTGCGGAAGCGATGGATGCCGAAAGTGAGTAGTGACCCGAGCTGATTCAAATTTGACTAGGAACCAAATCATCAGTGCGTGAGCTATCCTGCGTCCTACCTAGAAGCTTAAATCCTTACTTACTTAAGGCTTTACAAAAGCCCAAGAGAACAAACGAACTTGAATAGAAAAAGGACTCGGACTGGGCTGCTTCTTCTATTGAGCAGCGCTTTCTCGCTCAGGCACAGCCAGTCTGAGTTTTCTTCCAGCGAGGAAGAGGTTTTCGGTCCTGAGTTGTCCTTCACTTTGTCAATTGAATTCAACAAAGCAGGCAGAGGTGGAAGAGTGTGAGTCTCAGTTTTGACAGCAGCTTTGACCATGCCATGAAGAGTGCTAAACACCAAGACATGTTGATTGAAGGCATGCATGGGCAGAGCCTGGCGCATCGTTCTTAGAGCTTGAAAGATGTTAGTGATGGTGCACAGCAGTCCAGACGATGCTGTTTTCCGCGACCTCACTAGGGGATCAGACCCCAACTGTGAACTGGACCATGGCCTCCAACCGAGAAGCGATAGACTCCAACCTACCAGCGATGATGGCCTCCAACCTACTAGCTACTCGTACCTCTCTTCTACTGGCGACCTCAGCCTACCCCCCTGGTCTCAAAAAGAAACAGACATGTTTTCCCGGCTTCCATGGCTTTGCCCGCTAATTTGACCCTTCACGCAGGCTGTGAGGCCCGCGTGTCGCCTTTGTGGAGTTCCTGCTTGGAGACCCTTGCGTTCGGGTGACCCAGTTGACACATGTTGACGAACCGACAGGTGAGCCACAGCCGTTGGGTGGAGTGGCCCAGTGTTTCACTCAAGGCTCAGCTTCAGAAACCATTGCAAATCCCTTGTCAGCGACTTTTCTGACGAAAACGGCACTTGCACCGTCCTTGGATTCCTCAAGTGCAAAGCGACTGTCAGAGAGAGAAAGAGAGAGTGTGAGAGTTAGAAAGAGTGAGAATCTTCTTCGCGAATCACCGAGGCAAACAATACCTTCGAACAAGAGATTCTGCAGGCATACTGCCCACAAATATAGTGTCACCATTTTTGCATCGTTCTTGCAAAGGATCTGGAATGCGAATCACTAAGCACCGGTGGAGTTCAGAATATAACATGTATGAATCAATGTGTCAGCGAAGAGCTTGAATTTGACGTGTATCTGACTCTTTCTGAACTATTCAACTATTCCTTAGCCAGAAGGTTTGACAAAGAAGCCCTATGCCCTACGCGTCCGGCCGGCACCCAACCCCTCTAACCGTCAATTGTCAGTTCGTGGCAGGAGTGGCTTCATACAAAGGGTCTGAGTCTACAGCAGGCACCTTGCCACCTACTTTCCAGAGGTATACAATACAAAGTTTTCCTGTGCCTCTTTGCCTTACCATTTCAAGGCAATCATTGACTTGCTGGCAAACCCTAATCCTGCAATGGGCTCAGACCTGTCCAAAATCAGGATTGATGTGGCTGCTTGTAGTGAAACTGCCGCCTTTGGTCAAAACATGGCGGCTGAGCTTGTGCTTGCCCAAGGAAGGAGTTCCTGCAGTCCGTTGGCATGCTCCCTTTGGAGGACCAACCCTTTGAGAGAACAACTCAGATCTGAATAAGTCCAGAGCCGCGAGATAGATTGCGATAGTGAAGTGCTCACAACCCAAACCAGGTGAGTTGGGGGCTTCATTACCCGCGTATTCGTTAGGACAATGGATAATTACTGACTTGAAATTAGTCTTGTGTCCATCATTATTGTACTGAAGACTGAAGACCGTCACCATTTGTTAACAATTGGACTGAGTGCAGGAGGTCCAGATTTCCTCCATTCTCCTGAGGCGACAGAGAAAAAAACGTTGCGTTTTGCTGTGATTGGCATTGTTTTGCTGGTGCGCTCCAGGCATGGACAGATATTCCATCATGCAAACCCTGCAGTCAGAACGTTTTGCGGGGAGTTGTCCGTGTCTCAGCATCTTGAGATTGCTTTTGTTCCTCAGCCAAGATGGGTTCAGGTGTACTCCATTCGTGAACGCATAGCAGCTGAGGAGTGCTAGTTTGTGCCTTCCAAGCTTCGGCTTCACAGAAGTGTCTACCCTTGCGGCCAATCCCACGTCCAAAGTGCCAGGAGTTGCCAGAGCGGGCACGAGGCAACAGATACTCTACTTTCTTTGCAAATGGCAACCACATATCATTTGAAGCAGGTCGAGGCAACTGTTGGTACGGAAGATGCTGCCGTACGCAAAGCCACAAGCTGCCCCTGCGAGACTTGACATATGGTCCTCTATGGTAGAAGCATGATCTACCTTTGACATCCTTTAACTTGGCGGCCGGCAGGCATTGCAGTTGTCATTCCTTTGTTAGTCATGTCAGGCGCCACCACGCAGAGCGCTGGGGTTCATAGACTTCCGCATCATAGAATTCATAGACTGAGAGCACGAACATGTTGCCTTGGTGTTGAGGATTGAACCATATTTGTGAGCAGACCCGCCGCTAAAGTGGCTGTGGCAAACTGATGCTTTAATTTTGGACCGCACTCCCTTGCTGTTTGGATAGATGCAGCGATGTACAGCAGACGTCTTTCACTACTTGCGCATGAACTGGGAGACAACTTCCGCAGACTCTCACTGGGATTTTGGGTCGGCCTTTGTGGGTTTGGTTAGAGTATCACCAGAAGTTATGGACTCCGCAGCTTCTTTCCCTCAATTTCACGTGAGACATGACAGACAGAACACATTAATGCATTAATGGTGACTGCCAACTTGCTTGCAACTACTTTGCTTGACCAGCAGAGAGATGGTAGAGCTGCAAGCTGGAAAACAAAGAAGCAACAGTAGAGGGTGAAGGGTGAAACACAGGCCCCGTAGATATAGCGAGATGACCTCGAGTGCTGAAGGTGAGCAATTTCTTTTCTGCTCCTTTTCATTTCATTCTTTGGTCTTTCTTTTATCTCTGCTAGGCAAGATCTCTATGGAGCACTTTGAGCAGGCTGGAACCCAAGTCATGGGTTCACAAGGCCGAATTCCTGTGGCAGCCAAGGTTCTGGCTGATATGTCTGATGGCATTGGAGCCAAAGATGAGGCATGGAAGTGTTTTAGGCCACAGCGTGCGCATGTTGGTTGCAACTTTGGTAGGAGCGGCCTCTTCTGGAAGGTTTTTTGCGGAAGCAGGTGTCGGCCTTTGAGAGCCACTAGCATCCTTCGCTGCACAGCTTTGTTGCTTTTGCAAACCACACAGCCTGCGTTTAGTGCTTTCACTCCGCCTTGCCAGTGCTGTCGCATGCTGGACGAGCAGCTTGCCTGGACGCAACAGAAGGTGTCAGAGAGGCCTTGGCAGCTTTAGGACTGGAGCAATATGGGGTCAATACCCAAAAAGCAAAGCAATGTGTTTGGGAGGTCAACCCAGGTTTCGACCCACATCCATATGAGACAGCAGAATTGATTGAACTGCAATGAAAGATCAGTTTCCTTGCAGCTGTTTGGCTTTAGGTCTAGGGATGTCCAGGCATTCTAGCACGCCATGCGGCAGCTAAAACATCATGAGCAAAAGCTCTTGAAGAAGGCTGCTTGACCTTTTTGATATGGCAGCCTCACCTTTCTCAACAATTCTGATGTAGAGGTCAACTTCTATGACTGGAAGTCAACGAGAAATGTCGGGAACACAGGGAGGGCGCTGTTAGTTCTTACAAGTAGATTATGGAAGGGTGTGGTTCTGTGATGTTCTGTGAGGTCAGGGAGTCGTCGATCTTGAGAAAATACCAGATTGAGGATCGTGAGGACTACACTAAGATTCTGGTCTGCATTGTGATTTAGGACATCAAAGCCTAGTAGTAATGCCAGGAGCTACTAGTAGCTTCTTGCTCCTACTAAACACTATGGAAGCCCTGAATCTCCTTGGCTCCAAAGGTATCAGAAGCTTGCGCTTCTGATCCAAAAACTGACCTCAGGGCTTCGAAAGCTCAAGGCGCTACTTGTGCTGAAGTTGCAAACGTTGGGCTTTACGAGCTGTTGATATTGTTTGCCACTGCGCAGTCCTCGGATGAAGACAGAATAAAGATGACCGAGATCCTGCTTGACAAGATGTACTCTCTTGGATTGATCCAAAACACACAAAGCTTGGAGGAGAAGTTTTGCTAGACCTCTCAACAGGGGGGTATGTCACACTCATTTTTGCAAGCGTATATATAAAGCTTTGTTCAGTACGCTTGACTTTGTTGTCTTCTTGAGGACTCGCATGAGTTGCCTGCATCAACCTTTTGCAGACGGCGGCTTCCTGTAGTCCTTGTAAGGATGAAGTGTCCTCGTCAGCAGATGTGCAAAAGATGGTGTGGGCAAGCTTCAAATTTGTTCGTCAGAGTCACAGGATCAGTCCTGGGATTGAAACCAAGCAGCCTGAAACTGTAGCAAGCAACAGCGTTGATCTTTTGCGGCAGCGAACCTCAGGCTTTGCCAAGACTTGCCGCAAGCCATCAAGTACATCAAGCAGGCAAGGAATCTATCAATTTGGGTGGAGTCTCTAGTTGCACCGAAGTGTGCTTGTGTCGATTCTTTTTGAGTATGGACTATAAGCACATACAGTCTTGTCTACAATGTGAGTTTGTGTGCCAGAGAAGAGAATCTGAACGATGTCCTGCAGGGCGAGATTCGGATTGGTCCTGATGTGGTCACAAATCCAGCCTTGCATGTCACCCGCGAGATGGAGGACTGGAGATCCGTCACTTGACAAGTTGCCAATCAAGACTGGAGCCATGACTCGGTGAAGCTTTCGTTTCAGCAGATTTTTCGTTCAGGATCACATCACCTGGGCGGAGGGATCCAAGATGAGACGGCAAATCAAGGAGTTCTCCAACGAGGACCCCGATGTCATGCTGTATCGCAAAAAATAAATCTTCTTTTGAGTTGCTAATAGGAATGGCCTCCAACCTCAGAGCGATGGCCTCCAACCTAAATAGCAAACTTAAATACAGTATATTTGTTGCTTTTGTGTTGTGTTGCGCTTTTCGCTTCTTCGAAGGCTGATGATTTCGAGCTTCTTGGAAACTGAGTGTTTCGCGACCCGTCTCACCCCCGAGAAAGCAGATAGTGTGGTGGAAAAAGGCCACACCTGTCCTCTCCCTGAAACTTTGAGACAGCACCTGTAAGGACCATGGAATGATAGGCAGTCACGCCCGAGATCTCTGGACAGGCTGCGGGCTGCCGCCGCGAAGCAGGAGAGGCAGCTGCTTTCGGCTCGAAGAGCCTTCGAGTTGAAGGCGCGACGGCACGAGCGCAGCACGAGCGCAGCATGAGCACAGCACGAGTGACTTCGGTGACTCGGTTTCTCCCAGAGAATGTGCAAATGTCTCATCAAGTTCTCAGTGCACTCGGCAGAACATCAATTTTAGCTGCTTGAACATCAAGTCCTTTGGGAACAATCGGCCACGGTATTAAGTGAGATCACACAAATTATTCGAAAGTTAGGGCTTCCTGCTGGACCATGAGACTACCATTCGATGCCTTTGAACGCAGTAGTAACTCTGCTTGATGAGCTATGCAAGAAGTTGAAGAAGCTGATGACAGCGCAGAAAGGGCTTGATAATCAGTGCACAATTGGTGCACAGCTTTAACCTGCTCAACACTCAACTGCTTACTGTATCCAGACTGAAGATTGAGGAAGTACCAGCTGATGCGTTAGTTGAACAATATTCATGGAGGGGTGAGGTGGTACGCATTTTAAGAAAATGCGATACAGCCGCAATCCCTATCGTAGTGTTTCAGGAGAAGCAGTGCCTGGCAACTTTGCAGGAGCAATGTCGGATGGTGCGCTTGAGAGTGCACTTCTGTGAGTTTTGCCTACGTATGTGTCTAATTACGTTGCTCAATGAATACCAGGGAGTATACAGTACCCTACAAAATTCAGCCTCCAAAAGATGAGCATTAGGATATTTTGTAGGGACTACCTGTCTGTAGACACATGACACTATACAGAGCAATGCCTGGACCGACTGAAGGCCCCAACAGAATCCTGGAAACAGGTGGTGGACAGGGTGCTTGCTTTCCAGTTTTGGCATTCAATTGACCTGCAGGAAACCTGTGTATATCATACTCTTGCTACACCACAAATCCGTGTAAGATTGGCTGCTGGACGCCTTGGTCACCAGACCTTTCGATATTGACATCATTTTGTATCCTAAAGGTCTATCGCAGGACTCCTTCCCCGCAATTTCAAGCATGGTCTGATGACTCAGTCCACAGTGAAGCATGCTCAGGCCACTGACAGGTAGAACGAGTCAAGACGTAGACAAGACTGACAAGACAAGTCTTCGCGCTAGCTTGGCTCACGTTGTGTATGTATATTTTGTATTTTTTTTGTTGCACTCTTGCTGTGTATGTCTACTCAGTTCCCCGAAGGGCCCGTCGTCTTGTTTTGGTGTCCTGCTATGACTTGATTATAGCCTGACAACATATTGACACTCGAAACACGTACATATGCAAGGGTGTACATGTGCGTAGGATTCCAGGATAGATGTGCTACGAAATCTGTGCACTTGCATGGCACGTGGACAGATTTTGAACTGCAGGAGCTACAGCTGCAGCATCAGGTGCAACAGCTTCGGGCAGTTCATTTGTTGGTGGCACTGTTGGACCAGGCGGGTGTCGGGCTATTTGAACTGGTTCGGTTCCACGTGGTTTGCAAACACAGGAGAGCTTGTGCCACTTGGCACATGTGGTTTTCCTGCATTGGGCTTCCGCAATGCAGGCGAGGTGGATGCACGCAGAAACGTTGCAGCTATTTCTTTGGGTGAAAGCAAGAGTGAAAGCAACAAATTGCTCGTCAGCTTGTCGACTTCCTGTAGGCTTCTCGGAGCCAAAAGGACCGCAGACCCTTCTCAGCTTTACAGTATTATTCTTGAGCTGGATTAATCGGATCCCCAAACAGGAGTCCTCAGAATCAATTAAGCATTCCGACTTGCAGTTGGATATTGATGTGGAAAAGTGTGCAGCGTGCTTTGGCACAGGAAGCAGAATTTGTGAAATCCGGCAAGAAGCCATATCAGACCTTTGACAAGATTGAGGCACGTCTGAAATCTCATTGGTCGCGCCCCTGAACTCTGTGGCTGGGCTCTGTGTCCAGGCCTTGTCCTCCTCTTGTCCTCTGTGGGCTCTGTGTCCAGGCCTTGTCCTCTTGTCCTTTGTGGCTGGGCTCGGTGGCTGGGCTCTGTGGCCCGGCTCTGTGTCCGGGTCTTGTCCTCCTCTTGCCCTTGTCTTGGCCGCGCCCTGAACTCTGTGGCTGGTCTTTGTGGCCCGGCTTACTGGAGAGGAGTGTGGCCGAACAAATAGCGATGTCAATGCCGACAAGAATTCATTGATGAAGCAGTTCGCTCTTGGGGTGAAAGTAATTAAGGCATACCAAGAAATCGTTTTTTGACTATATAATATTGGTCTAAGCGAATCGTGTTGAAGTTGTTTGGGATCTATGCTGGTGTTATTTAGTGTCTTTAAGTAGCATGCAGCGTGCATAGATTCTGACTACATCTGAGCAGCTTCGCTTGTGTTCACCTCACGACGTCTGAGAATTGCTCGAGGCAGACAATGCAGACAATACATGCTCATCTCCAAAAAGAGCGGTCAGTTTGCAGCAGGCACAAGATATTCATGTTTGCAAACTGCCGCAGTCAGAATTGATCAAACTGCAAAAAACAATGCAAGCATGATTGAAGAGAGCATGTTCCATTGTTTGATTTGGCTCTTTTCTAGGTGCGCATGCTGCCCACACCACAGCGACGGAAGCTTCCAGGCGGGGTGTGCTGAGGGGTATCAGTTGTAACATTCATTCGAACGTTCGTTGAACTTGTTTTGAGGTGACTCCTTCGTACCTGTTGAGAAGGACAAGATGGGCACCAAAGCAAACGCACCCAGTCCAGCAGCAGCTTCCGCTACTACAACTGCGGAACGTGAAGAGATGAAGAGTGCTTCTCTCATGGCCACGGCAGCTGCAGTTGAGATTCCGAGGCCAAGTAGAATCGCATACCATGGTCATTGGATATTCTGTGTGTCAGGCTTCAAACACTTAGTTGTAGATCAAAGGGATGACTTCAAGACGAGGAGGGATTCCGGCAGGATGACTACGCCCCCCTATCCGGGGAGTTTTGAATATGAGAGATGTATGTGGTGTGTCGGAGGCCTCCAAAGCCGCCTTTGCTCCCAGTTGGGCAGTGTACAGAACCGAGAACCGAGACAAAATTCGACAGAGGGCGGATTCTGCAAGTAAAGCACCAGGATTCGAGATCCTGTATGTGTAGGAACGCTACTAGGGGCTCCTGGCCTTACTACTAGGAACAAGAAGCTACTAGGGGCTCCTGGTCTTACTACTAGGAACAATGTTTGCTATTAGAACGTAGCTTCTTGTTCCTGTATTGAATCAACTGGTCAGATTGAGACAGGCCATGCACGCCATGGTCATTGTGACCATAGAGGTCATGCCAGCCCTCCACAAGGCCCGGACTCGGACATCTATTTTATGAGAAAACTCATGGTGTTGACGTGGTATTGTTACATTGCCAGATAGGTGACATTCTATTCTTGAATTGTGTCACACGGACTTACTTCTCACCAGGGAGGCATTTGTTGCCAGCAGCAACAGGATGTGTGGGTACGGTCCAAACCGTGCTGGCCCGATTGGTTCAACACCTCTCTGTAGCGCTCCGATTGGTTCTGACCCAGTTCCCCTTGTTCCCTGCTGCTGTCACCATGAGTATTGGCATTGGCCTTACTACTAGGAGCAAGGACGCTACTAGGGGCTCCTGGCCTTACTACTAGGAGCAAGGACGCTACTAGGGGCTCCTGGCCTTACTACTAGGAGCAAGGACGCTACTAGGGGCTCCTGGCATCACTACTAGGAGCAAGGACGCTGGCCTTACTACTAGGAGCAATGTTTGCTATTTGAACGTAGCTTTCCCGATTCTTCAAGAACTCCAAAACTGATACTCAGATGTGCCTGTGCAGTACGCTGGTTCCTTCAGAGGACCGGTTCGTCAGCCCCACAGAAGCGTCCTGCCACGGAGTCGCATGCTGATTCTCCCAAAGGATGGATCAGGCATTCACCGCAAAATGAAGTTGACAATACCAGATGCATTCCGCTGAACATGCGGATCACTAGGTTGATCTGTTGTTTGCTTCTCAGCCAAGATGATGACGCTTTCCAGCACAACACCGGCTACTTCTTGTGACACGCCACGTGTTTGGCTTCACAATTAGAACTCTGAAAGCGGTCTTATTTCGTCTCACATGTATCCTGCCATCATCTTCTACCAGCAGGGTGCCGTCCAGGTTGTGACATGTGCTGCTGGTCGGCTGCTGTGAATGCCATAGATGCTTTCACAGTCGCCAACAGGGCGTATTGTTGTTTGCATGCTTATTTTTCTTTTGTGTTTTCTGGCTCTGCAAACATTTCATTGCGATCATAAATCGTTTCAGTCATTTCTACTCAGAAACGACCACAAAGGCTGATACCACGGAAACGATGGCGTAAACAGACCCGGAAATGGCTGCAACTGCTGCGTGCAAAAAAACTGCTGAAACATGTCAAAGCGACAGACGTCCGCGTTTCTTGAGACTTCGAGTTCCCCATTGCTCAACGCCTGGGGGTATGCGGCTATAGCCAGCTTTTCTTGTGGGATGCTACCCTATACTATGTAGCGCTGTTTGCTGCCAGGTTGCAGCAGCATGCAAAGAGAAACTCCAGCAGGCAAAGTTGAGTAGTCTTCCATGTGGGGTCTGAGTTTGCACAAGATTGTAAGATGCAAGCACAGTTTTGTGATTTCGATTTGATTTCGATGTCGGGCATGTTGCAGTTCAAGTCAGATATTTTAGGGGAAGGCACAGTACTAGCCATAGCCGCCTGTGTAGTTTCTTAAGGAGCCTGAGTCTAGCATTTTAATCGCCTTTTTGTGCCAACTCGCAGCCATGTCGCCCAGGTAGCAGCAGTGCCTCTTGGCAGCCTTCCCATAGCCTGCGACCCTACCTTGTCTTGATCACAGCATCTTCATTGACGCTTCTTGTGCCAACCTTGCCAGACCTTATGGCTTCGCCAGATCATCAGGTTCTTTGCAAGTGGCCACTTGGATGCAGAAGCATCGTTCCCAAGGGACGTCCAAAGCGGCTTCTGATGCTTCCAAGGCACCACATGTACGTGCACCAGTACAAGCGGTGCACTTGGCAACCCCATCGCCGCTGCGGTTGGCACGGACATTATCCTGTGACAGATGACATCAGTTTTCTTTTTTTTGTTTTAATGAATCTTTTTGCCTTGTTGTATATGAACAATGGATGACATCGTTAATAAACACATTGAGTTTCCGCACAGAGCCACATGGCAACTATATATATATATGTATAGATTTGGCCTATTTATTTCCAGGACACAGCAAGCTTCCTGTACCGTGCTACCTGGCAGTCCATGACTCAGCTACAAGAAAGCTTCTGGCTTGCAACACGTTCAAAATGACGTATCAAACGCCTTGTTTCTCGAGGTGCAACACCATTGTTGCCTTGCTATGCGAGCCTCCAACTCACTTTCCAACTACTTACTTGACATCTGCCATGTAGACATGGTACCTTGCACTTGTATTCCTTAAAGTCTGCTGAAAGCCAAAATGAGTGGTACTGAGATGTGCAGACTCCACGGGCCGCACGGGTGATCAGAAGTATCTCGAGTAGGTCACTGGCTTGGAGAACAGCCTTGGACTGGCGTGATGACAACGAGACCTTTGGTGTTGACCCAGGCATGTGCCTGCGACTGCCAGCAACCAAGCATGCCAATCAAGTTTCGAAGACGTCACGTTTGATTTCTTTGAGGCGAGTCATTATGTTGTGTGGCCCAACACCTTCATGCAGCTGGATGCTCAAACGATTGTTCTGCATAGAACATGTTGGCACACCGCGTGGCAAGGGCCAGAGCAAGCCTGGGAGCTTGGGTTGGCAGACAGGAGGCCAAGAACATATGACTGCCAAGTCCATTGTCAGCAATAAATAATGAATAATAAGAAATATAATCAGAAGGCTTTTTCTTTCTGATAGAATTAGTCACTGGTCGAGGAATCTAAAAGTGGCACACTTTCGAGCTTGCTCCAGGTGCGGAAGATAATTCACGTACCCGCAGGTGGAGGATTTGCGAAGCATTTGTCAAGCATACCACACACCTCACTACAATCACTAGAATGCTTTTAGATGCTTTCAGACTATATTTTGGAGTATATGGCATATGATGGCATATGTAGATCTCAGGGTCGGTCGCAGTTGAGTTATCCCAGGCATTTTCCTAGCCTATGCTGTATTTGTTGAAGGTTGCTCTATTTCTAGCCTAGAGAGTTTGAAATCTTTTCGTTACAGTTCAAGCTGCAAAATAGTCGGCCCTTCTATTTTTGTTTGCAGTCCTGCAGCAGGTCAGACGAGAGCCACTATCACTTCCCTGTAGGCGCGTTTTTTTTTTTTTGGCGATGTATCATGCTCAACATGATACCCAGAACCTAGTATGAAAGCATTGAAGTTAGGCTTCACTAATTACTGAAAAGCTAGAAGGATTGTACAGTCGACAATTCGATCTTTATGGTCGGTTGTGACCCACGCAATGGGTGTGCATGTGCAAGAGTTAGGGCCGAGGGCCACCAGGGACTTCGAGTCATGCGAGTGACAAAGAAAAAGGAAGTGTTTGGACACTTTAACAAGGTGCCTTTCAAGGGAGCCTTTTTGAGGAGCCCAAACACATTATGTTTTCTTATGTTTTAACTCTTTGTTGTCAGACTTGTAGTTTGACATAGCATACCATAGAGACCCAGCTTAGCTTGCAAGTCAAGGCTCGGACCTTGTGGCTTGGCTTGCAAATGGTGCACCCACTGCATTTTGTATTTTTGTTTGGCTCAAAGATTTAAGTGGCCGGGGCTTTCCATTTCACGCCAGTGCCATGTGTCAGCTTTCAATTTACCAAGATGACCTTGCATTACTGTGCACTGTGTTTATACTGTAAGTACTTTTGTAAGAATAAGTTGCTGCGAGTGCGGCCTCTGAAAATAGATCATACCACTTCTCTTCACAGACTACAGTAGGGGATAATTGAAGCTGTGATATTGTTTTGGAGATTCTGGAGCCTTTGGCATGCAAAGAATTCGTTCACCATGGCCTTGTTGGCAAAAGCTTCCGATTTCAAGCAGAACGCAAGCAGGACTGGTTTGTTCTTAGATTTTGAGAAGTGTCTTGACTTGGTTGTGTGCTCACTTCACTTCGGTGAAACCAGAAACGAAAGCGCGGCGCCACTTCTTTGCAAGGACCATGGCAGAACGTTGGCAGACATTCTCCTTGCCCGGAGCCATCAGGTATTCCCAGCCATTAGCAAAGGGCATCACTACTAGGAGCAAGGACGCCACTAGGGGCTCCTGGCCTTACTACTAGGAACGCTACTAGGAAGAAAGGGCATCAGTACTAGGAGCAAGGACGCTACTAGGGGCGCTCCTGGCATCGCTACTAGTAGTGTGCCTGGATATCAAGCATTAGTTCTCCCAGGGGATCGAAAACAGCACCTTTCTGCCAGGCGAGCAAAGACAGCCATGACAGGGCCCTCCAAGATGCCTAGTGACCCACTGGAGGTGCGGCTCCTTGCACATCAATTCTGTCCATCTAGATCTGAGGACCTGTGACCGGTTGAATTGTTGGTTCTAATTGTTGGTTCTATCCTTGATTGAACAACGCCTGACAGTCCTTTCTCTTCAGGAGCAACGCGCAGAGCTTTTGGAAATGGACCGGCTCATCTCCAGCTTGAGTGCATGTGTTGCCGCCTTGGAGCCACAGAGCGCTTTGACCATCTTGGACCGCTTCACGATGCCTAGCGCGACAAGTTGCGAGGCCAAAACAGTCGCCTGTGCAGTGGACATGCTGCCTCCTTAGAGTGGTGAGACTAACCTTCAGGACTGCGAGATGGTCAAATGGGTCAGGGTGTTCCTTCTTGCTTGGACATTGTTGGATCAACATCACGACGTTTGCCCCTTCACATTTTGCTTGTTATATAAGTGTGTGTGTGCTTCCAGTCGTCTTTCGACCCTGGTTTCTAACGTGCCGCGCCTTTCTAGGCTTGCCTCCGCACCGGTTCCACTTTTCGATCCCCTGACCCGCTTCTATGGCACAGTCCTGAGTGGCCCATGCAGCCCATCGTCGCCACTGAACACCGAAAAAACGGACATTCCTGGACCCTTTGACCTGGGTGCCACGATGTGCCACACCCAGGCCAGGATATGCCAGGCAGCCCAGCAATCGACAAGCTTTGCACTCAACTCAATGACTTTGCCAACAAATCCAAGGCCAGGCACGTCAAAAGCTAATTTCTTTTTTGACAGTAGTGATGGTTGCTGATTCTGCAGCATGATTCCGAAGGACAGTGAATCTGGTCTCGACTTGTTGCAAGCAAGACTGCAGACCCTGTCAGCGCCTCGAGTTGTTTGCTGCAAGGGCCGACATTTTCAAAGCAGGTCTAATCAGTACTCCCTTAATTGACCAGTGTTGCTTCACTTGTCAGTTTGCTCTTCTTTTAGGGTGGTACACCAAGCACGATGTGAGAAGCACGTTGTAATAGATGGGAGGGAGAGACTTGATTGGAGTTCACGACTGGCAACTGTTTGGGGAGCTTTTGCTGGAAGCAGGTCTGAACGCAACAAGGTTGCCCATCAGTACGACACTTGGAACTTGTGCGTTTCCGGGATGGATGTCAAGCAACGCTGTATAGTCAATGAAACAATATCTTGCAGCATCAGGTCTTTTGGTGCCCGTGATGTGGCATGGTCTAGCCAGGCCTTGCCAGACATAGATACCACTGACGGGGTCAGGCCTATTAGGTCCTCATGTGCACAGTGCCTGTGTGGCTTTAGCTGAGCAGGACCATTACGAAAAGAAGGTGGAAAGGCTGAAAGAACAGATCGCCAAAGGTGGAAGTTCGTGTCTCCGACGCTTTTGGTTGGAAGGGTGGACGAAAGGATGCTCTTTCTTAGACCTCTTGTGTCGATGCCAGGCATGCGCTTGTACAGAAGCTCAACCGAAATGAACAGAAGAAGCGGGATAGCCAACAGGAGCTGTTGGGCTACTTTCGACACCGCCTTTTTATTGGGCGCTTGATCGCCTAAATGCGGCCAGTCTCAGGAGTTCGCTTCTTGCACGAGCGAGACTGGCCGCTCGGCAGTTCGAAGGCTTCGAAGCGTCGCTGTCGACTGTTCTGTCCAACCAGGCCGACAGGTCAGTGAAGCGCTGGAGAATCGATGGCAGGAGATTGGTGAGGCCGATGACCAAGCTCAGACGGGTGTTGAGAAGTAGAAGGGAAGCAACATGGGGCAGGCCGTGGCTCAGCTTTGCCAGTACTACGTTTCCGTCTTCCAGGAAGGGCATTGAAGCAATAGCACAGCTTTTGCCTCTGTGAGTTTGTGCAACTCTCCTTCCAGGTTTGCGGCGTTTTGAGCCGCGAGCTGCAACATGTCGTCGGCCCAGCTGCATGGGGGTTTGCCAGCAGCCAGCATGTCTTCCAGGTGGCTGCGAGTTTGCTGTCCAACGCCAGGTCCACCAGGAGCTTACGAAGCCATCCACAGCAGAAGCGATGCTTCGGAAGGGAAAGGACAGATGCGAGTGCGTGAGAACGGTTTCCAGTTCTTTTGGGGCTGATTACCTACCTTGGGCTTTGAGCATAACAAACTGGAAAGACAAGATTTAAAATCGAAACAGGACCACCGTTTTGATGTTTCTCCTGAGACAGGTTAGCAGTGAGGGCGATTATCCACTTAGACAAATGGACAATCCTCGTCAGATCCAGGTCCCAAACAAAGACACATCACACTCAAAAGAACTTGAGATTGCTTTCAACTGACTGATGCCAGTTCGGAGAAGCAGGCAAGGCAGTCATGTTCAGCCTTGATTTTTGCTACTTTGGGGGCACTGCAGCAATAGTGAAGGACAGTGCAGGAAAGGGTGTCATAGTGGCTTTGCAACATGTTGGGTAAACGGGGGGGGTTAGCCCCGGACGCAACGCACGAGGGTCAAAAAACCTTGTTTTTTACAGGGTAAAGTGGCTTTCCGGACACTCAACTTATCGTCTTGCAACTCATGAGTTGCAAGACGATAAGTTGAATACATTTTGACGGACGTATTCACCGACCCGCCTGCTCCTTGTCCATGGCGCGAAAGTGATTTTCCACCTGCTAGGCATTAGTCTTGGTCCCAGTGGAGCCATTTCAGCTCAGTATACATGGCAGCTGGCGGACAAGTGTCTTGCACAGCTTCTCTATGTATCCTGACAGCCTCGAGCGTTGCGTCCAACCCAGGATGTTGGCTGAACCACAACGCTGCGAGGCCTTCAACGTGCTGCCGTTGCAGCTTCGCGTCGCAACGGCCAAGCAAACCCATTCTACGCAGTGATTTTTTCATCACTGCTGCCAAGCTTTCTGTAACTTGGTCTCCACCAACGACCGTAACTTTGCTCTGTTTCTCGAGCAGCATGGGTCTGGCAGAAGAAGAGGAACGGATGGAGCTACCTTGCTTCAACGCTTGCAGGGCCTTCTTTGGAAGGTGTCGGTTGCTCAGAGTCACAGTCGGCGTGTACTCGCTCTGGGAGTGACGCGCCGTTGCAGCTGTCAAGTTCATCTCCTTCATAGCACCTTGAAGGCCCTTCGAAGCGTCACTGCCCACGATGTGTTTGGTGCTGCAGAGCTTCGTCTTCAAGAGTGGCAACACTTCATCCTTGCTCTCAGGCGGTCCCGGTCAAACCGTAACGGAGAACGACAGTTTAACAATGCAACCTCCTGAACAAAAGAGATAGTCGGATCTGAGGCACGGGTACAAACGTCTATGTGAGCGTCCAAAAGAAAGGGGTCGGCCGTAAAAAAAACCTTCAAATGCTCATTGGGGGAAGGGCACCTCAAACCGACCAAACGCAACAACAGAACCAACGACAAACACAAACAAACCTCCAAAGTAGAACCCGTCATGTCCTGTAAGCCGAGACAAGCGGGTCGTCCAGCGAACGAATCGTGACCGAGCGAACCTACAAGGAACCGGGTGGACCAATGAAGTACGTAGACGATGTACGCGAGTCGTAACCAGGATGAAACTGACCCCACCCCCCCCCACCCCCCCCAAACACGAAAAAAACAGACCACATGTTACGGGCGGGGCTAACCCCCCCCGTTGACCCAACATGTTGTTTTAAACTTTAAGGGAGGAACACTTCCAAACTAGCCGATGCTTTTGACGCAAGCAGCCACTGCAACACGGTGAGAGCCAAACAAGAACCTCAGAAGTAACTATGTTTGCTTTCCCACATTTGGTGACACGTCAATGTCTTGCGTGTGCAGAAGACCGTTTTAAAGGAATTCCATTTTTCCGCTCTGTTTCTCTCTGATCTCTGTTTCCAGGAGATCGCCTTGCAAGCGAAGGAGTCCACCAATTTCCTGGTGAACTCCTTGCGCGCCAAGCGTTTGCCTCAGCCACGAGACGAGATTGAACGACGTACTCGTGAAGGCCCTCTTCTGCAGCAAAGAGCCTGGAAAATTGACATCAGGTACAGTTCCTGGAGCGAAGGAGGCAGTTATCCATCTGACCTTCCGTCTGGCCAGCCTTTCAGGTTGGCCTGCTTAGACAACCCTTTCTACTGGGTGTTGGGTCATCTGTGTTCGGAGGCAACTGACCAATCTGCCAGGCCAAGTGGGCAGCTGGTGAGCGGCCAAGTGGTGAGCGGCCAAGTGGTGAGCGGCCAAGTGGTGGGCTCCAACTTTGGTGGATTCGAGGCGAGTTAGAACAATCTCATTTAGATCTTGATATTCATTCAAGATTCTGTGTGCTCTCACTCTTGTTGGTGCCTACTTTTTGAAGGCTGGGGGATACGGCGCCAAAGATTGGCCTAGATCTCAGATGAAGTCATCATATACAGTAGGCATATAGGATCATATACTGTGGGAATAATTCTAATTTGATTGTCGAGTCAACGAGACTTGAGACTTGTCAAAGCTCCATAGACGCCAAGGCCATCTCAAACATCCAATGGGTGGCCCTCGTTCGTGCCTTGGATGCTGCAGGTGGGATCATCACCCAAGAACTGGCTAAGGTCGTGGCCTGGAGCCTCCAAGGAGAGGGAAGAAGACAGATGATTTTGATCACTTTGTAGAAGCCACTTTCGATTTTTTCCGCCCTCGTGAAGCTCCTTGTCAGGAAGTGCACAGCCAGCCTCGCTCGCCATGGGATACTGCTGAGGCTGCTTGCACTTGTGCCACATGACATATTCAAGTGTCGCATAGTCTGTGCCCTTCTGCCCTGCCTTACTTTGACTCTTACAACATCACAAGGTTCGGAGAACACAGCCGCTGGAACATCGGAGTGGCCGCAGCCCTTGGAGCTGAGGCGGGCGGAGCTGAAATAGTCTTCCAGAAAGGTTGTTCACGAGGCCCAAAGCTGTGACATGTAAAGAAAGAAAACAAATATACATATATATATAGGTGTATCTAATATATTTGTATATCTATATGTAAACATGATAATTAAATCGAGCAGTTCTTTTTTTCTAGTGTGCTTCGCTGTTCATTTTCAACATGTCAGGTGATGAGGTCTCGTCCTTTGACAGCTTCCCAAGACCTGTGTACATATTTGCCTAAAAGCACAACGAGCTGCGACACCAGAAACGCCAATGGACGATGTGAAAAGCGGTTTTTTCATCAAAATCACCATCAATGTTTATCAATAAGCAGCTATATACTGCTATACAGGCACTCAAAAGAGCTGGCCGGGTACTAGCGTTTGTGTTTCTTTTTCTCCAGCATTAAGCTGTCGCGTTGCTGCTCCTGGCTCATTGAAAAGCAAAGGCACCCACACACTCACCATGTATTCAGACATGATTAATTTAAGCTGCTCACTGAATGCTTGCTAAACTATGTGAACCGAAGCAGCAACTCACCAAGAGATGCACATTCGTTTTTGTTTGAGCTGTATCATGACAAAGCTCAGAACAAAGCCTGCAGTGAATTGTATCGAAGTTTAAGCTCACATCAATCTCATTTTTTTGGCGAATGGCCTAGATTGCTGCCAGGCTCAGCTACCGCTGGCACTGGCAGGTGGTCGCCCAAAATGCCGTCGCTGCGGGAGATCATGCTGAACCGGGCCAAGGAGCCCGCCAAGGTGGGTTTTTTGAAAGCCAAAACACACAGAAAAAACATGAAAAGAAGACAGAACAGAAACTTAACAGCGATGGCCTCCAAACTACTAGCGATGGCCTCCAACCTACTAGCCATGGTATTTCGAGGACCAAATCAAGTTGAACCAAGACATGCAAAGACTGCTCAGAAACGCAGCTCCAATTTTGTGCCTTTTTGTTGCGCAGGTTCATCCAATGGATCGGGTTTCTGAACTTAGTGACTTCTGCGGTGCACTTGTCGATGTGAAAGGCACCACGGACTCTGCCATTTGAGGCTCCACCAACTCCGTTAACAGCGGACAGTCCAAGGGCGCCCGGGACGCCCGTGGAGACACCTCAGAGGAATGGCTATGGCCGTCCTCCAAGGCCCAAAGCAACACCAGGAGCGGTGATGCCCACTGAGCTGTTTCCACACCTGTGCTGGCACTGTCTCGGCGTTGTGGCAGGAACCAATGCCAGTCCGGGTAGTGCTGGGTCTATGCAGCCCAGAAGGAGAGATTGGATGAGACTTCTGAACTGTTACTAGTAAATTTGCTACTACTAGCGATGCACTTGTTACTAGTTACTACTAGCGATGCACTTGTTACTAGTAGCGACCGATTGCTTGATGCGACTTCGAAAGATGAGAGAGGCCTAGTGAAGAGAGGCGGCCACGAGCAGCAGATGTGGCGACACCTCAACGAGGCAAAACACGAGCATCACACATGACACTCCTACTATTGGGTCATGTGAAGGCTATCAGGGTTTGCATGTTTGTGCCAGGGCGAAGAACACCAAGTGAGCCTCCACGAGGTATTGGACAGCTGGAATGAGTTGAGAAGATGAAATTTGCTGCTCTTTACCAAGAAGACAAAGTACACCGGTCTTAACCTGGAAGGTAGACAAGAGGATGAGGATACTGGCACACCTGATGGAAAGAGAGCACCAGGTAGGGAGCAGAATTGTCCACAGCCAGAGCTTTGATGCTCGATGGAAGGTGGACCAAGTGCCCGTGCAAAGGCGCATCAAGTGAGCAAGTGCCTGCTGTGCATCGAGATTTAGAGTTTGACTGATCTCAGGCAAGGTCACTTTCGGCCAATCGCGCTCCGGAGAAGATCCGCATAGGCGATGTCCTTGTGGATTGGTAAGGCATGGCAACCTGTGCCGCCAAATCCCCTCATTTGGAAAGGTGATGCTGCGCCTCCGGTTGATCGTAAAGGTATCGGAAAGGCGAGAAAAGCCTTCAGTCTGACGCTTTTCGGCCGGTTCCCAATGTCATTACTGTATATAACTGCTTGACAGAAGCTCAATGTCAGGTACCAGCATATTTGAAGAGGAGGCAGGAGGAGATGGCAGAGGACAAGATGGCAGAGCACAAGCTGAATCTACAAGAATCAAAGACTGTGACGTGACTGTGACTTGCTTGAGAAACTTTCGTGATCCTTGCAGTGCAAGGAGAAGAGACGAGCTGCACGGCCCATCTCTCCACAGCCACCGCAACATGCTGAGGACATTTTCGGACCTTGTGAGTTCAAAAAGTTGTTGCAGATTTTCGGACCTTCCAAGAGTATTTGAGAATCTTTAGCTGTCTTAGTCGTCTTAGCCATCTCAGCCACACCTGATACCCAAGGCCAGGCTACAGAAAGGTTGACGAGGTCGAGCGACTGGATACGTTGGATGTTCTCAGGCATGGAAGCTGACAGATCAACTATCGCTGAATGGAAGTCATCATTCTTTTTCCAGATAGCTGAAAGCTAAAGGAGTTCTTAATGGTTCTTACTTCTCAATGCCTGGGTGGCTGATTTGCCTTTTCCCTCCACCGACTCCACCGCTGCCTTGTCTCCCCGCTTGTCTCCTTGTCTCCCCACTTGATCCCACTTGCCCGGTTGTGTGATCGGCACGCGGCCTGCCGGCCTTGTCTCCGGCACTTGGTCTGCTGCTGCTGCTGGCTTGTCTGCACACTTGTGAGGGCCCTGGAAGCGGTCATGAATATGAACTACTGTATAGTAACCGAAACCATAACACATTGCTGTTTTATACCAGGATTTAAGGTTGGAGCAAGGAAAAACTTGTACACAGCGACTGCAGCCGGATTGTGCTACACTTATAACTTATAACATGCTTTGCAAAGCCCTCTGAAACGCAGGTGTTTTTCATTGTCGCATGTCGGAGGTTGTCGGAGTTGCTTTTTTCCTAACATCTTAGTTGTTCATCTTATAGCATATAGTATTTTCTCCAGATAGCTGAAAGCTATACGGGTGCTTTCTTCTCAATGACCGTTTCGTCTGCCGTTGCTGCCTTGTCCACTTACTTATGTTCCCACTTGTCTCCTTGTCTGCCTGTGTGACCGGCGTTTTGTTTGCCGCTGCTGCCTCGTCCCCTTTCTTCTCTCCCAAACGAGGATCTTCGATAGCATTTTCGCCACAGCCTTAGCCCATTGAGTTCTGCGCGCGAACTCGTGGAACGGTCCCAAACTGCAGTTTCGACACCCACTGAAGTGTCTCCCGGCTTGTCTGCCTGTGCTTTGAGACCTACTTGGTATGTAGGGTCTATGCCGGCGATTTTTTTTGAAAACATCATGAAACAAACATATATAATCATATATATATATATACACACACTCTCAGATGGGCACTTTCTGTTGATGCCCTTTCTATCTTCTACTCCTGCTTTTCGAAGGCAACGGAAGGAGGAGGTGGAGAGAGCGCAACGAGGTCTCCCTTTCAAGATCGAGACCGTAGGGCAGAAGCAGCGAGAAAAGGACGGCCAAGCTTTGTTAGGCTTTTGCATACCTTTCCGATGTGCAGCTCATGGTTGCTGAGATTGTAGTCTCAAGCCGGGGGGTGCTTTAGGCCCATACAGTAAAAAGGTCGTCACATAGTTGTCAAGGCTTGGAATGCAAACAAAACGACTGCTGCAAGGTCCCTGCGTTGAACAATGATTTGATACCGGTTGTGTGTTTGAGCTGATTCTCTGCCAGGATCTGAATGATCGCTTGTTGCACATTGAAAAGCTGACAGGTCAGCCGCTCAAGCAGTGAATGAAATTGCAAGGCTCTTTGCGTCGTTTGTGCGCCAGGTATGTTCTCCAAGCCGGTGGTTTTTGTCCCGGCGGATTCCGGGTGCATTGGCTACAACTAGCACTGCGTTCTGCGAGGTTCCTTTCGGAAGCTGTGAGCCATCAGTCTCTGAGGCCAATTGCAGCTTCTTTGCCATCTTTAGGCGACATATTTGTTTCTTTAGGCATCTTTAGGCAACATATTCACGTTGGCAAGATTTTGCTGAATGTAAAGCATGGTTCCATCAGGCGAGAAAGATCGTCACATACAAGCAGAGGCGGCAACGGGTACCTTCTGTAGGCATCAACAAAGGCATGAGAAATTGATACTGTGAATCAAGCCAGAGTTGATGACTGATCATTGAATCACCAAGTCACACATCTCACGGCCTTGCTTTTAGAAACGACGGCACTTTTCTGCTGCTGGCAGAACCCAGTGGTCAATGATCATCGTGCGACACGCCGGCCTCCAGAGCGACCTTCTATCACGGTCAGCAGCCAAGTGTTTCAGAGTTCCAAGGAATATCTAGCTGGAGACTTTGTCGACAATCAAAGACATTTGGAGTGTTACATGCTGTGCCAACAATTTGTAACGCAAGACAAAGGGGACCATAAGTACAATGTTGTGAGGTGAAACAAGCACCAGGAGGCCACTCCAACCTGGTGCTTGGCTAGACCGTTTGCCTGTAGCGCACTTTGTACAGTAGCTGTTGCGCCGAATTAGCAGAACAATTATGTAATGATGCGAGATGCAGAAAGCTGCTCACCGACGATATGGTTGAACGAGAAGCAGATGCTTTACCATATTTGGAATGCTTTGATAAAATCTTGCTCAGCTCCCATAGGTGAACGCTTACAACAGGTCATGTCACTCTACATAATTTCTGGGCACCACTTTGAACAACATAGATGCTTGACATGCCACCCTTTCTTTTCTGTGGGTGCGGATCTTTGAAGTTTATCATGCCGAGCATGTTCTGCACGCTGTAGCAGTGCCGAGGCCTTTGCCCATAGGCAAAAGAGAATACGATATAGTTGCACGCAGAATTTCTCAACATGCAGTTGCAAAAGGAGAGCTTAGCCAGTTTGTCTGGAAGTTTCCCTGCTCTCTGGCAAGTCTCAACCTGTTACTTTTGCTTGTTTTTCGGAATCCAGAGTTGGCTCGAATGTCACCCCATGTGTAAATATCTTCAATGCCCCGTTCTGCAACACCACGATCTTCTGCAAATGCTGGAGCTTCAAGAGAAGTAACACCGCGGTCTGCAAAGTCAGGAGCCACTCAGTCTGTAGCTTCACAGTCAAAGGCTGCAGAGCGGTCCTCTCCATCATCAAGACACGTCACCCCTTGTGCTTCACCTGCTGGAGGCAGCACTCCTCGTCGTCGTCCTGCGGACTCCCCACGTTCTTCCTGCAACGAACGGCGTCCGGCCTCCTCTGGAGGAGCTACTCCAGGTGCTTCATCAGGAGGAAGCACACCCCGCAGGAAGGCACCTTCCTTTGGAGGAGCAACACCGAGGCCAGAGAGCAAAGTTGAGCTCCTTTGGGGCTCAGGCAGCGCAAGGGAGGGCAGCCGAACTCCGGCCAGAACAAGACGGACAGCTTCTTCGGCCTCCTTGAGTTCTTCAACTCCATCAACCAAAAGCAAGGATGCTACTCGCTCCTCAACGAACTCCAGAGCGAACTCGGCTTCTTACAAGCGACCGCGGAGCATTCCGGAATCTCTTGTATGCCTGCGAGATGTTTGCGGCGGAGAAGCTCGGCGACTGGCGACAGAATTTCCTGACTGGGAGGGATTCTTCAATGGCCTCGCAGGTTTGATGAGGGATGAAGTAACTACACACTTGAAGTCCTGTGGCAAGTGTCGAGCAGTTTCATCCTTCTCGCGAAGCAATTCGCGCTTTCAAATTCAGCCTTTCTCTGAAGCCTCCCTGGCCACTGTCTGTCAGAGTTGCTTGCAGTCTTTGAATGCAAGTCTGCTAGCAGATTTGCAGAAGCAAAAGGACACCCTCTTGACAGATATCGCAGATGCTTTGGGCATGTCTTTGCGTGACTTGTTGTGTTTTGAAGGAGTTGCTTTGCAACGCCAAGATGAGCGGCTCTCTTCCCTTCCCATTGTGGCCTCTGAGAGAACTCGCATCTTATCTCAAGGGCATTTGCGCGAAGAAACGCAGCACATGTGGATAGAGCCTCTCAGATGAAAGAGCACTAGTCGTTTTCATTTCTTTTTAAGTTTTTTTTTTTGACCAGCACCTCTATAATCCTCTATATTCTTTTTGTTGTATGTTGTACGTTGTATGTATATGTATATAATGTATTATAATGTATGTCATTTGGCTTAAATTAGTTATTTTAGTGTAATGCAATGCAATGCAATGCAATGCAATGTAATGGTATGTAATGTAGTGTAATACAATAAGTAAAGTAAAGTAGAGCAATGTAATGTGATGTAATACAATGGTATGTAATATTGTAATGTAATGTACTGTAACTGACCAGGAGTTAGAATATAAAGTCAATGAAACACATGAATTAGGATCTAATTCACTGAGGCAGACCTGGTAGAAATAGCACATAGAATGCAATGCAGTTAGAATATGGTGGAGCAGCCATTGAATCAACACCATTGATCTTTATCACTTCCATTTGTAACTTTACTACAGTAAGCAAAGCATGCATTATCTTTGGCATCCATTATCTGTTGGCACCTCCTCATTAAAGAAAGAATCATTGAGGAGTCAAGGAGCTAAGATGTATCACTTTTGTTTTGCCTCTTGTATATTCTAAGTGCATTGGTGTAGATTCTAAGTGCATGGAAGCTCGAGATCACATTTTTATATTCTAACTACATTCCTAATTCCTTATGTTGAATTCTAACTGCCAGTCACGGATAGTAGTGTAATGTAATGTAATGTAGTGTAGGTATGCAGGTATGTAGGTCAGTTGGCCTGCCGCGCGTACGGCCGGGTCATTTCGAGCACTTTTTTGCAACTTCCGTGTGGTATTTACAGCACTTTCTATGTGTCCGCAGGGCCACTGGGGAGAGCGTCGACATGGTCATAAGCATTTTCTATGGTATTTCTCATGGTTTCGAGCAATTGTGTAGAAAATGCATTGTATTTACAGTACTTTTTGTCTGTTATCAATATCACAACATTGTCATCGACACCACAACACATTGTCATCGACATCGCAACATTGTATCATTGTCAACGACATCACAACATTGTCATCGATGAGTCGTGTGATTAAATGTGTCGGGTGGGGGGTGGGAGTACATCGATTTCATAGCATTATCATTGGTTTCACAACATTATCATCGATTTCAAGTTTGTGGTAAAACTCCGGGTCTGTGAAATCCCTGGCGTAGACGGACAACTTGGCATGGAGTTCAGGTATGAAACCTCATGACCTTCTCAAAACAGTTTTTTGCTTGATTTGTTGTGTCGGCGCGCGCAACAATGAGTAACCAAAGTAGCTTTTTGGAAACAACAACGCAAAGCAACTTAACAATCAAAGAAATGCTAATCCCAAGGTAACTTCAATAATTCGACTTGGGCTGTTTTTTTCCCGCCGGCAAGTTTTTTTTCCCCCACCCGTTTTCCGGCCAGGGATGCGGCGAGGTTCACGGTTCCATTCCGTCCAGGTTTCCGCCCGCCAGGTTTTTTTCCACCCGTTTTCTGGCCAGGGACGCGGGGAGGTTCAAGGTTCCACCCGCCAGGGTTCCTTTTTGACTGGTTCCAGGATGTCCGGTTTTTTCTTTTTGACCGTCGCTCAGGGTTCTTTAATTTTCCGTCCAGGTTTAAGGACGTACAGGGCTTCTTCTCCACCCGTGGAGGGGTTGTTGTCGAGGTTCTTCTTACGCCCGCGCAGGGTTCTTTTTCAACCCCTTTCGGGACGTGCAGGGTTCCTTTTTCGCTCGTCAAAGGTTTCTTTTCCGTCCGCTCTGGGGTTCTTTTAGCGCCCGCGAAAGGTTTATTTTGTGACTGCGCAGGGTTGTTTCCGTGCCTTCTGCGCCCGCGCAGGGTTCTCGTTAACCCATTTCGGCATACCGGGTTACTTTTCCGCCCGTGGAGGGCTCGTTTTCCGCCCGTTCCGGGCTTGCGAAAGGTTCTTTTTGCACCTGCGCAGGATTCTTTTTTAACACTTTTCGGTATGTACCGGGTTTCTTTTCCGCCCGTGGAGGGCTTCTTTTCCGCCTGTTCTGGGCTTGCGAAAGGTTTATATATTTTTTTATGCCCGCGCAGGGTTCTTTTTTAACCATTTTTGGAATGTACAGGGTTTCTTTTCCGCCTGTGGCGGGCTTCTTTTCCGCCCGTTCTGGGCTTGCGAACTTTTTGCGCCCGCGCAGGGTTAGTTTGCGCCTGTGGAGGGCTTCTTTTCCGCCCGTTCGGGGCTTGCGAAAGGTTCTTTTTGTGCCCGCGCAGGGTTCTCTTTTAACCGCGGTTAGCCAGTTTCGGGACGCACAGGGCTTCTTCTGCCCGTGGAGGGTTTGTTTGCTGCGCATTCCGGGCTTGCGAAAGGTTTTTTTTTGCGACCGCGCAGGGCTCCTTTTTCACCCGTTTCGGGGGGTGCAGGGATTCGGTTGCGCCCGTGGAAAGTTCCTGTTGTTGCGCCCACGCAGGGTCCCTTTTTAAACCGTTTTTGGAAGGCCGTGGGGTTTCCACCCCATCATGTTTGATTATTTTAGAGAAATGGTTCGTCTTGGTCGATCATGCTTTTTCACGGTTGTGATCATTCATGATGGTTGGATATTCTACGTTCCAATACCACCCAAAGTAACATGCATCTGTCTTTGCGCCGAAAACATTTGCGACGCTCCCTGGTGCAACTTTTGGGCCCGCGAGTCGGAGCACAGCGCGGAGGAAGTGAGGTGTTGCCACACTATAGCGCCAGTGCTGGAGCACCAACTGCAAAGAACCGAGCGAGAAGTGTGCAAGCAAAATGCGACGCCGCCCCAGGGTACCAATCTGAAATAGCGGGTGTGTCGTTGTTTACCAGAATAGTGCCTCCTGCAATACCATCCGCAACAGAAGGACAGGTCCATGTCTTCATTTTTAAAATTGGTGTCCGGGCTGTGGCCGCAATAGCTGGAACAGAGCTGCTGGGCCGAAGAGCGCGTATCGTGGGCGCGGAAGCGGTCGAGCTTACCGTAAGGCTGTGCGCCTCGACGGCTTCATGGTTCTTGGACAGAGCCCCTTGGCACGGGTTAATGTGACACAGGGTGCGACGCTATTGATGCAGTCAACATTCGCGTGATGTGGATTTGGGATTAGTTTTGCCAGCTCTCAGAATGCCTGAGGTGTGGCAGAGTTTGGAGCGTTCCTGCTGACATGGGCCATGGGTGGCGCCGAATCGAATCCAGGCTGGCCGCACTTAAGAGCGCCCCGCAGCCGTGTTTTTTTTTGCACGCCCCTGTTGCAAGGGAGGGTGTCCGTGGAATGCTTCTTCGCTTGCTAAACTTAAAGCAGAGATGTCCTTGGGGAATAGCGCAAGGATGTACTGGATGATTGCTACTTGCAGGTTGTTTCCTGAACATTAAAGCTGGTACAAGTCTCACCCAGTGCAAACTGAAATCATGTGGGTCGGATGTTGGAACACCGGCGCAGCAGGAAGACGATACCTCTCCAGGATTGCAGAGACCAGTGCCGCGAAGCCTTCCGTGGAATTGATGCCCATGGGTCCTGGTCCGAAAAGCTGACATGCCGGGCCGAGTTGTAGAACTGAGCAAGTCAAGAGTTTCCTACCCAGACCAGTGAGCAGCTTCAAAGACCTCTATGATGAAAAGGCGTTCAAAAGGTAACAATAATAGGGGTTTTCGAAGCTGCTCAAGTGGACAATCCTTCAAGAATTTTAGGAGATTGGTCCGGTCTCCCCACTCAATAGGAACGGATGACCAACTGAGCGGAGTGCCTGGGCACCTTTGCACGGAAGAAGCGGGTCAGGTTATCGGTTCATCCTGGGGTAGCAACTACTGTAGAGGTATATATCCAAGCCATGCTGCGTGCACACTTGTTGGATTGATGTTCCTGTTCATGGGCAGTCCATGTTTCTCATCAGATGTTCAGGAAGCAGGATACCTTCCAAGACCCTTAAAACGGGCCAAAAAAGAACACCAAAAAAGAACTCTCCCCTGAAACTATTGCAGTGTTCTTGGTGCAGACAGAATCAAAAGTTCACCTGGAACTGGACACCCCTCCTGCGGGAATCAGCCCACGGATCGGCCTGTTCTTCGCGGCTGAACGGATTTCGCGGGTGGCTATGGTGAGCCACCGTCGGAAGCTCATGCAAGCTCAGGAACAAGACGCCCAAGCTCAAGCAGGTTGTAGGTTGGAAGCCATCGCTATTGGTGATTTTTGCGATTCTGCTGCTCATGAGGCAGATCATCGGACATCGTCGGACCGAGTCCGAAAGCTGATCCTGTGACGTGCGTGCGTTGTCTTTTGTCGCCGCCAGAACACGGACCTTTCACGTGGTATTGGGAGGTGTCCCTAGACCCAGTCTATACTTTACCTTCTCAGGTATGGCTGGGCCCGACAATGGCGCCTACAGAACAAAGTCCCCTTCCTCACAGTGTGAGAAGATACGACTGGATCACTATTGGGTAAGACAGATAGTTCAATTTATTTCAATTGATTATGACTTCCGACTGGGGGTAAAATTGAGTCATTGGAAGACGACCGGTGTGTCCAACAGCAAAACACCTCAGGAGTGCACCGATGTTTTCCTGCTTGAACGTCTTCGCTGGAAAGTGACACCGGCCACAGTGTGATCCCTCACACGTCCTTGTGGCAGTCGAGAACCGCCTCCATGATGTTTTTCCTTGTAAGCAAGTGATGGGACTGCAAGCACAAGCTCTCACACATCCTTGTGGCGCGGAAATAAGAGAGCGACGAGGTTAAGGGAACGAGTTTCTCAAACGGGTCAGAAGAACCAACAGAACCCTAAAACATGTCAAACAAGAACCCAAACAGAACACCAAAGCAGGTCAAAAAAGAATCCTAAACCAGGTCAAAAAAAGACCATTAAAACGGGTCAAGAAAGGATCTTTAAAACGTGTCAAAAAAGAACCCCAAGCCAGATCCTAAAAGACCCTTAAAACGGGTCAAAAAAGAACACCAAACCAGTTCAACAAAGACCCTTAAAACGTGTCAAAAAAGAATTCCAAACCAGGCCAATAAAGAACCTTATAACGAGTCAAAAAGAGATCCTTAAAACGGGCCAAGAATGAACACCAAACCAGGTCAACAAAGACCCTTAAAACGGGTCCAAAAAGAACACTAAAGCAGGGTCAAGTCAAAAAAGAATTCTACGATACGGTATGGTCTGGTCTGGTATGGTATGTATGGTATGTATGTAATTTTTGTATATTTTTGTAATGTGTGTAATGTAATGCAATGGAATGGTATGGTATGGTATGGTCTGGCGTGGTATGGTCTGGCATGGTATGGTTTGGTTTGTGGTAGGATGTATGTGTGTATGTATGCATGCATGTACGTATGCAGGTATTGGTGTAATGTAATGCAATTCAATGCAATGCTATGCAAGTATGTATGTATGTATGTATGTATGTATGTATTGGTGTAATGTAATGCAATGCAATGCGCATGTATGTATGAATGTATGTATGTATGCATGTATGCATGCATGTACGTATTTGTGTAATGTAATGCAATGCAGTGTAATGTAATGTATTGTATTGTAATGTTTTTATTGTAATGTAATGTAATGGTATGTAATTAATGTATGTATGTATGTCACGTCAATGTCATGTCATGTTATGTCATGTCAGTAAATATGTATGTATGTATGCATGGATGGATCAGATTCGGTACAAACTCTCTATTGTCCAGAGGTGCAAGGTACTGACTGCACAGTTTTTGTGGTGCGTGGAGTTTCAACAGTCGCACATGTGTGTGCTGTGGAGGTTGCAAAGTGTCCGTCAAGCTCTGAAGGAGTGGAACTCTCTCGCATGGCCGTTTGAGGGAAGGCCATGGCAGCCATCGTCGGATTTTTTGAATACATTTTGAAGAACGGTCCCCTGCGCCATGCACCCCAAGAGTAGACCAATCAGACTGAGACCAGACGATTGAACAACAGTCTAATGAGACCTTTTTTTGTTGTGCTCATACCACTTGAGAACTGCACTTCACTGCATTTGGTGTTGCTTTCAATATTACTATATATATATATAGTTCCCACGCCACACTTGACCGCATCCCCTGCGAGATACATCCCGCACAAGTATGGGTCTGTGGTGAGCAGCAGCGATGTTCAGAACCAGGCTAACAGAAAGTGCAAGTTATTTGCACAGGAAGCTTTGTTGGTTTTGTCGGATTGGGAAGCAAAATGGCCGCAATTCAAATTCCACGAGGTCTTTTCCCTTTTTGGGGTGCCCATGTTGCAGTTAGATCCGAAAACAGGGATCGTAGATTCTTTGGATCTAGATGACAACTATGATGATCCTGTGCTGGATGAAGTGGAGCTCTCCGCCTTGCAGCCCATGCGCGTGGTCACCAGAGTCAGGCCCATGCTATCACATGAGGAAGGTGATGATGTGTCTGCAGAAATCTTGGATGAACACACAGTTTCTTTTGAGACACTGCATCATGGCTATGTTCCTGCTCGCCATACTCTGCAGTTTGATGCAGCCCTGCGGTGCTCCCAGACAGAGCTCTTCCGACGTTCTGGAGTCAGGGCACTTGTGCATCGTGCTTGTGAAGGCTTTACTTGCAGCATTTTTGCATATGGTCAAACTGGTGCTGGCAAGACGTACTCTCTGTTCGGCCCGCCAGAGAGCTTGTCACATCTTGTGGATGATGAGCTTGCAGAGGAAGCAAAGCAGCAACTGCCCATTGCTTGCCATAGGCTCATCGACGAAGCGCGAAGAGCGAAATCTGGCAAACAGGGTCTCTTACCTAGAGCTTTGCAGTTTCTTTTTCGGGTTTTGAAGGATTTGGATCTCGAGTCCTGTGAGATTCACGCGACTTTCATGGAAATTTACAACGAGACCATCTTTGACTTGTTTGAGCCTTCGGCAGCGCGGCTAGATGTTTATCAGAGGCCTGGGTCAGAAGTGGGCTTCCATGTTCCCGGCTTGACCCAGGTGCAATGTTCTTCTGCAATTGAGCTTATGCAGGCTCTGCAGCGCGGCTTGTCAAGTCGACACAGTCACGGCCACTCGGCCAGCCGCGAATCCTCCCGAGCACATGCGATTTTCACGGTGGAGATTCGTTTGCCCGGCAACACTGCAGGGAAGCTGATTTTTGCGGACCTGGCCGGTTCAGAGCGATTGAAACGCATCTCCGGTGCGGATCAGAAGGAAACTGGGTATATCAATAAGTCCTTGTTGATGCTCTCGAACTGTGTTTCGGCTTTATCTGCGAACCCTCCGACAAGTCCACCGGGCGCCTTTCGGAACTCGAAGCTGACCAAGGTGACTCGAAGCTGAACGATTTTTAAGACCATAAGGAAGGAACCGTCTAAAAGACAGATCATTTATAACTATAGAATCCAGAAGCCTGGCCTGGTCATTCAATCTCACGGGGTGGGGGGGGGGGGC